CACACACACACACACACACACACACACACACACCATTCATTTTTAGGAACCCAAGAATGTGGAAAAAACATTTCAAGCAATAAAAATAATTTGTTCATCTAAGTTAACATGAACTTTTTTAGTTTATTTCAAACAGTTTGAAACAAAACGATCTTTCTTAAGTTATAAAGACAAAGACGATCTTCCACCTCTGATAGAGACGAGAAAGACGTGTCGGCCGACAGTGAGGACATGAATACTACTTCTGTACAGTACTTTAGTTGTACTCAGATAAAACTGCGAATATTTCTCCTGCTTCAAAACAGCAGTTGCACTCTACTGCCACCTGAGAGCGCTGTTTTTAGACCAGTGAAGAAGAGGTGACTTCTGGTAGTGTAGCATTAGCCAGAGCTAGCTAACATGTCATGGTGTTATCGGAATCAGCATCAACATGTGACCAAGCGTCAGAAGAAGAAAAGTGTCGTCGGTGAACTCACACTTGAGCTGAATGAAGCTGCTGTTGAACAGAGTTTTAGTGAAGAAGAAGAAATTCTTGTCCTTCAACGTTTCCTGAAGAAAAAAACACAAACATCGAAGAAACGTTTCATTAATTAATCAGAAGAGTTCAGACTTTAATGGTCAAATAATTCAATTAAGTACATTTTACACTTTTCTTATTGTTCTTACGAGAGTTCGCTGCCCTCCAGTGGCCACCGTGTGGAACTGCAACAACCTGACTCGGTTTACGAGTGCGTCCAAATCCACTTTGAAAAGCTCGAACCCAGATTCAACGGAATACGTTGAATGTTAAATAAATTTAACGTAACTTTTAGGTGAAACATTTAAAAACTGATCTTTTCTTTATTTTGTGTTTTGAAAAAAAAAAGAAAAAAGTTGTGAATATTTGAATTCGATGAAATTCAACTAAAAACAAATCAACGAGAAACTAAAGGAAACGAGCTTTGGAGAAAAACAACGTTTATATTTTAAATCTCAAAACTCATTTGTGTTAAAAAGCTTCAGACTTTTCTCTGATTCGGTTTCAAACTGTTTCGATTAATCGAGGTGAACCACACACACACACACACACACACACACACGGAACTCACACTGTCCACGTTCAGCGTCCATCTTCCGGGTTCGGACACGGCGCGAACCGGCCCACTCACACCCGCCAGCAGCAGCAGCAGCAGCGCCGGGGACCGGAGCCTCGGACCGGGAAGACCCGGACCCGCGGATCCCGCCATCAGAGCCTCAGAACCGGACACACGGAGCACCGACACAACTGACCCGCTCACTTCCTGTTTCCGCCTGACGTCACCGAGACAACTCACAACAACCCGCTCACTTCCTTCTTCCGGATGACGTCACCGCGAGTGCACATGGTGCGTTCAAGGCCCGTGGGAGGTTCAGGCCTCACTTCCGTGTTTTAATGCGTTTTAAGTTTTTCGACAGCTACGTCACCGGGTCACGTGGAGTCAGCTGACAGACAGAAGAATGATAAACATCAAAGATTTGTTTCCGTTCATTCGTGATGATGATTGAGCACGTGGGTGTATTTTGAAAGTGCTGACCGGATGTGGTACTCGAACACTTTGAGCTGCAGAAAATTATTTTTTTTTCTGGAGCGGCACACCCACCAAGTCACTACGTTTATTTTGAAAGTGAACAACAGGAAGTCTCTGTGCGCCTTCAAATGTGTAACTTGACTTCATGTAGTTCCTCCCGGTCACCACGGGGCGGCGCAGTAAACACGCCACTGATGCTGTTGTTCATCGTAACGGTGATACTCAATGTGACCACCAGAGGGCGCGACTCTGGGACTCAACACTGTAAAGACGGAAATAATCATTGACTGCCACACCTTCTATTTCCGGTACAACCCTTCAAAATAAAATGTAAAGCAGTCAGATCGTTTGCCTGGTGCGTTCAAATGAAACGAATAAAAGATAAATGATGAACGACAAAGATTTCAAATCATTTACGGTCTAACATTTGTTTTTGTTTTGTTTTCAGTTGGTTTTATATCATTTTTAATCATAAT